ATGTGCTCAATGTGTTTGTGAAGTCAGTCTCGTGACTTCAGTGGTCTTAAGAAAACATTTGCTTGAGAAACACTTGTGTTTTTATATGAAACTGTCAACACACATGGGGAAACACAGAGATATACACTCCTTTTAGTATAGAATGAAATGAAATTTCCTGAATTTGCTGAGTTGGGAAAACAAGTTTAATAGAACTTTCTGGCAGTAGGAATTTCCTATTGGAATGGAAGTGCCTTATCATCTGGTCTTTTAAAATAGAGTGATTTGTTTGGCATAGTTTAATTAAAATCTTCTCTGAAAATTAGGCCATGGAATTTTTTTTTTAAAAGATTTATTTATTTGTACATACAGAACTGGGTACAGGCCAGAGGCTCAGGGGCGGTGAGAGGCTTCACCAGAGACAGAGAGGGGAGCAGAACAGGCAGATCTACGAAGTACACTGCTGAGGGGAGCAGCGGGCGGGTTAGGAGAGGTCTGCCACGCCATGTGGTCACCTCCGGGGCAGGCGGGAATCGAACTCATGTGGAAGTGGCTTTAGCTTCTCAATGCAGTGCTTTAACCCGCTGCGCCACTAGGGAGGGCCCCTGGAATTCTTTTTAACAAGATGAAATGACTCTGGAGTTTTGAAGGAAGCATTCCACACCTTCTCCTGCTTTTTCTTCTCCAGAGGAAAACAAGTTCTGTGCTGTCCTAATTAGGCCAGTGCCAAACACATGTCCAGATACATGTCTGTTGATTAAATGGAGGAGTATGGAGTAGTTGAGTTGTAGCTGACTTTTGGAATAGTTGCCTCAGTTCTGGTAAAGTTAAGAATTTTGTTGATTTCTTTGGGTTCTGTCTCTTTGATCTCAGCCAGAAGTGGAATAAAAGCCAAGTAAACCAGAGACTAACAGATAAAACCAATGAATAGGAACTTAACTTGAGAATAACTGCTAACTCAGGCTAGCTTTAGAATCTGAATGGAGAGGCAAAAATAATTTTGGTTGGTTCAGAGGTGTGATTTCGTTCAAACATTAGGTTACAGTTGGGGGTAACCAAGCTTCCCTTTAGCTCTTTCCATTTACTTTGGAACTAATTTTTGCCCTCAACTGTAGGGAGCTCCTTTATAAAAAATTATCAGAGTCTGTAATTGCGGTTGGTAGAAGTTAGATTCTTTTCCTCCTGAAAGACTAGATCTGAAAGGACCTCAATGCTGTGCTAGTTTCCTGTGGAGTGTGTTCTGATATCATTGGGGCTTAATTTCTGGAGTCCCCAAACTGTGCCCTGTTTAACTTCTCTCCTGTCAAGGTACTTTATTTCCCTTCCCAGGCCTCCCGAGAACCAAATCCATATGATCATTCTTTCTGGAATGGTTCTCAGAGAGCTAGGAAGGAATTTCTTGATGGAAATTGTCACCAATTTCTGTTGCCTGCTTGGGTTAGGGCTTGATTGCTAGACATTTTGCACTGCCATGAATTGCCTTGTGTTTTACGTGGAAACAATGGAGATCATTGAGCACTATTATGTTGTATTTTAGAAACTTGGTTTGGAAAGTGAAAAGCTTTGTGGAAGAGAGAGATAGAGGATGGAGCGGTACTGTCTGGTTTCTTAAAGCTTAATAGATAGTAGAGGGTCTCTTAACTAAAGAGTTAGCCAGTAACAACAATAATGCGTTGTTTTCGTGAACGGGAGAGGAAAGGAACTAACAGAAACAAGCTGCAAGCTCTTTGATTTTCATGAAAAATATAGTCCCCTCATGAGCCTGGTGTGCTCAGTCGATACTGCCATGCCTCCTGTGTGCCCAGGCTTTGTGCTATACCCGTTGCAAACTTGATCTCATTCTACAGCCAGGACTATAGAATCTGTTTTTGTCTTGCCTCCCTGAGACTTTGACAATTAAATAACTTTTCCAGTGACCCACAGTGCAAAGCCAGGCAGGCTTTCCAAACCTGTTGAGGGCTCGATGGAGGTTGGCAGGCAGAAGTTGGGGAAGGGTGGCTTTCGTGTCACTCCTGCTGCCGCTGTTGTATAAGGACCGAGGACATTTCAGACACTTGGTAGAGTTGGGTGGCAGTCAGTTGGCAGGACACTGTCAGGAAGCTTGTTTCCCACCAGAGATGGAGCAAAGTGGGATCATTGATTGCAAGTAGGCAGAGCAAGTAGAGTAGGGGCCTCCTACCCTCCTGGCCTCTTCCTTTCATAAAAGGGGTCTTCTTCTCTGCTCTTTTTTTTACCTTTTCCTCTTCTGACTGGAAACCAAAACTGCCACCAGATAGGCTTACTGGGGTTAGGGTGAATTGAATAGTATTTCAGATTGGCAGCAAGCGAATCTGAAAGGCATAAGGAAAAATGAAATATGTTATTCTTGTTTGTACATTTTCTCATTTGTCTTAGTATTTGATTAGCAGCTGTTACCCACTCAGGAGGTAAAAAAAGGTTAACATAACATAAAACATGTTAAATGTACATGTTAAATGATTGTCCAGGACTTGTGAGTAGAAAAACTAGCGTGGGGTTTTGAGTTCCTTCTTCCAGAATTCTTTGTACTGGACTCAGGTGCATACATGTGGGTGTGTGTGTTTGATATACCCTGTGACAGCTGTGACAGCAAATGCCAAACAATATCCCCAAATCTGATAGGGAGTGTTCAGTTTTTCTCCCAGACGCCCCTTTTCAGGTGCCTGCCCTTAACTGTTCTGATAGCAGTTGTTTTATGGGCTGACAGGTTCTTGAAGGAGTAGGTTTCCTTGTGAGAAGAGTCCTAGGCCTGGTCTTCTTCCCCAGGACTGTGTGAGAAGGTGGATGGCTCCAGTAGCTGGTCTCCCTGGGCGTATCTAGCTCTTGATGGTAGTTTTGTGGAGTTTTTGTTTTGTTTCACGTGCTGGTCAATGCAGCAGCTTGGAACCAGGCTGGCTAAGTGACATTGATTAAAAATGGCTGTTCTGTGTACCTTGTTCCTCTCAGTTTTCTGGGAAATCTGTGAGTCTGTCACCAGGCTCATTGAATCCTGCTATGTATTAAGCCCTCTGGGAGATATACAGAGCGATTATGCTATCTAGCAAGGTGACTGGTATCGTGTGTTCATTTGTTCATTTACCAGATATTGAATTCTCCCTGTGTGCTAGGCTGTGTCTCAGATGCTGAGAAGGCAAACATATGATAGACACAGTCATGCTTTCATGGGCATGGTGAAAGGCGTTGGCCCTGCAGTGGGCATTTGGTAAATTACTAGTGTCAATACGAACATATTAAGACTTAGTATAATAATGTGATATTAGTAATAGAACAATGAGGGGTTTACCATCTTGATGAGGTTATGGAAGTGAGGACTTATTGTAGTGCCACACTCAGTGGTCTGTACACATGTCTCCAACTGCTCTTTATCAAACCAGCACTCTTGAGATCAGGCGGGTGTTTTTTCTCTTAGGGCTTGGAGGCACTTGGTGTAAAGGTTAATCACTCCTTTATCTGGAGTAGAGCTTTACTTGTTTGGATTAGGAACTTTGACCCTGAGATTCTGTATGCTGTGAGTTGGGGGTCCTGGGTACCTTTCTAGAGTTCTATTCTGGGATTTCACTGGCACCCAGATATCTTGCTTCCTGGCTGGTCTTTTATGATGACTTCAATATCCTTTTAACCTGTAAACAGAGGAGTTAAGATAGATGTAGCTTGACCAGTAAGGTTTCTTGTTTTTTTGAAATAACTGTTTTATTGAGATAGAGAATTCATACACTATCAGTTTCACCCTTTTAAAGCATACAATTTAGTGTTATTTATATATTAATAAAGCTATGCCAATTGGACCACTATCTGATTCCAGAATGTTCTCACCACCCTAAATTGGAACAACGTACCCATTAGCTCTCACATGCTGTCCCCACCTTTTCCCGCCCTCTCAAAACCACTAACGTGCTGTTGTTGCCATGAATTTGCCTGTGTGGACATCTCATGTAAGTGGAATCAGTGAATATGTGGCATGTCTGGCTTCTTTCTTTTAGCATAGTGTTGTGATGGTATCACTACCTCATTCCTTTTTAAGGTTGAATTGTATTCCATTGTATGGATAGATCACATTCTGGTTATCCATTAATCAGCTGATAGACCTCTGAGTTGTTTCTACCTCTCATCTATTATGAACAATGTTTTTGTGAACATGCATGTTGAAATTTTGTGTGACTATGTTTTCAGTTATCTTGGATATATACCTCAGTGGAATTACTGAGACAAACATGGTAACTTTATGAGAAACTACCCCACTTTTCTGAGTGACTGTTCCATTTTACTTTCCGTCCAGTAGTGGCTAAGTGTTACAATTTCTCTATGTTCTTAACAATACTTACTATGACCTTTTTTTTATGATAGCCACCCTATCACCCTAGGAAGTGATAGTCATTGTGGTTTTGATTAGTTCTTACTGACTGTGCTGTCGAGCATCTTTTCATGTGCTTAGTGGCCATTTGTGTATCTTCTTTGGGAATGTCTGTCAGATTTTTTGTTTAAATTTTAATCAGGCTTTCCCCCTCTGTTTTGTTCTAAGAGTTGTTAATATACATACATAAGTCCTTTATATGTGGTTTGCATATATTTTCTTCCATTCTTTGGGTTGTCTTTTCACTGTCTTGATAGTAGCCTTTGAAGATGAAAAGTTTTTAATTTTGATCCAAGTCCACTTTATCTATTTTTTGGTTATGGTTGTATTGTTTTGGTTTCACATCTAAGAAATCACTAACCTAACCCAAGGTCACAAAGATTGCTTCTGTGTCACCTTCTAAGAGTTTTATAGTTTTAGCTCTTTTGTGACCACCAAGTTCTTAAACTGACTGAGGCTTTAGAAGTCTTGTTGGCTGCTTGCTAGGGATAAAGGTTGGTGAAGGATACTACTATCCTGGGGCTTCTTTTCCTAGCTACCTTGACATATCATTCCCTTGGTGAGTCAATTAAGGATCTTGACCCTGGACACATTTATTGTTCTTGCAGGTGTTTCCAGTTGTTTTACAGTTTCTGTATTTAACTTTTTTAAGGTGACAAATGAAGAGGAATTTATTAGGAAATTGGACTGCAAACCTGATCAGCATCTGAAAGTGGTTTCCATTTTTGGGAATACTGGTGATGGAAAGTCTCATACCCTCAACCACACTTTCTTTTATGGTCGTGAGGTCTTCAAAACCTCCCCTGCCCAGGAGTCCTGTACTGTGGGAGTGTGGGCAGCATACGACCCTGTCCACAAAGTTGCTGTGATAGACACCGAAGGGCTCTTGGGGGCTACAGTGAATTTAAGCCAGAGAACACGGCTGCTGCTGAAGGTTCTGGCCATCTCAGACCTCGTCATCTATCGAACTCATGCAGACCGGCTGCATAATGACCTCTTCAAGTTCCTTGGGGATGCCTCAGAAGCTTATCTAAAGCACTTCACCAAGGAGCTCAAGGCTACTACTGCTCGCTGTGGCCTGGATGTTCCCTTGTCCACCCTGGGCCCCGCTGTTATCATTTTCCATGAGACTGTGCATACTCAACTACTGGGCTCTGGTGAGTACATGGGGTACTGTACCACACATTGGTCTTTCTGGGCTAACGCAAGCAGCTGTTCAGCTGCAGAACAACTTGGTGGCCCAGAAAAACTTCTGATTAGTCATGTAAAAAGCTGCTGTGGTCAGGATGAAGATCAAGAATTTCTGACTGGCTTTGGCCATCAGGTTTTTGATACTCTAGATAACCCCTGTTTCCCAGGGATGGTGGGCTTGAAAGTGGGGATTAAGGGAATATTAAGGTAGTGAATATATTCAGCTTTATAAAGGGAAACAGATACAATGATAGTCGTAGACTGATAGGGGGTTTCAAGGAATTTACTCTTTTAAATTTTAGTTGTGAGATATTGCAGATATTTGTGTAGTGATGGGAATGAGTCATTAGACAGGGTACTGTGCACATGTCAGATAGAGAGGGCAGGAATAGTTGGAGTGATCCCCAAGGTGAAGCTTAGCCTTAGGAATGTGGACAGTGCATCTGTAATAATAGAGAACAATTTTTGGACTTCTTGTGGAAAATAGGTAGACAGTGGTGTTGTGCTCTGTGTGCAAGTTGTCTTATTCTTTCTATTTTCCTAGAGAAATGGGAAACAAAATCACCTGAGTGAGAGGATGATGCAGCAGCAGTAATTGGGGTGCAGGTAGAGACAGTAGTGTTTTGGCCACTAAAATAATCATATAATATATCCGTTCACTCCTTCAGCAGTTTATTAAATGCACAGTGTCATGTGCTGAGCACTGGGCAACCGAGCTGGGAAAAGAAACCACAGTTCCCATTCTTGAATAGCTCACCTTATCAAAAGTAATTTTTTTGGGGGGGCCCTCGGTGGCGCAGTGGGTTAAAACACTACTCAAAAGCACCAAGAACCTATTGCAGCCACTACAGCATGAGTTCGATCCCTGGCCAGGGAGGTGACCCAAAGGGCACTGCAGATCTCTCCTGACCCACCCACTGCTCCCCTCAGCAGTGTATTTCAGTATCTGCCTATCTGTTCCCCACTCTGTCTCTGGTGAATCCTCTCACCCCCACACCTTTGGCATGTACCCCTGCTCTGTATGAAAAAATAAATAATACATTTTTAAAAGATTTATTTCTTTATGCATACAGAACTGGCCAGAGGTTCAGGGGGAGGGGTGGTGAGAGGATTCACCATAGTCAGAGACGGGAGCAGAACAGACAGATTGACTAAGTACACTGTTGAGGGGAGCAGTGGGCGAGATAGGAGAGGTCTGCTGCGCCATGTGGGTCACCTCTGGGGTGGGGATCGAACTTGCACTGAAGCAGCTGCAGCCATCTTCGCATTGCTGCACTTTAACCCGTGGGCGCCACCAGGGCGGACCCAGTAAATAAATCCTAAAAAAAATAAAAAGTTATTATTATTATTATTTTTTGCATGCACTCTACTAGGTGAGTTAAAAAAGAAAGTTAACTTTCTGTATAGTCTTTGTTATTCAGCTGCCCCATTTTACAGATGAAGAAACTGAACTCAGAACTTATATCACCATAGAGATTCTATCTTAGTACAAAAATTGAAATTTAAAACAAGGTCTTCTAACTCCCTAGTCCAGAGGTGTTTCTGGATTACTGTTGCTGCTCCTTGAAACTTGGAGATGGAGAAAAGGCAGTGAGTTTATGCAGGATAGGAAATAAGATGCCAGAATTATGGGCAAATTCATAAGTAGATTTTCCTCTGCCTCAAAGATTTCCTGTTTAATCCCGTTCCTTTTCTGGATAGAGGATTTCTAGGTGGGAAGTCATAGGCAAATGAACTTGAACTAATATTAAGTGGAGTGATTTGTTTTTGTCAAAATATTAAATGAAACGAAATTAAAATGAAAAGTCATTCCAACTTCTAACTCTAAATTTTTATTGACTCCTTTTGTACTCCACTGCCCAAATATCTGGAGAAATGTTGGTGAGCTGGGGGCAAGCTAATCCCCTCATATGGGGGCAGTTGGCTACAGTCACAGCATAAGACAGAATTTTCAGAGCAGTTTTTTTTTATGATTGTTTTTTTATTGAGATGACATTGGGTTATAACACTGTATGTGATTTAGGGGAATAGGTTTCACCCCTACTGTTATGCACCCATAGTTCTTTACCCTAGGCCATTGGGCCCCCTCCCTGATTTGACTCCTCAGCCCCGCCCAAGTTACTTTCAAGCTACTTATTTTAAGTATTCACAGGTGGGTGACTAGTTTTATATGCCATGTGCTGGAAGACATTGGAGCTATTAGAAAGAATAAGGAACTTCTCAGAGTATCATGACAAGTACACTATGTTATTAATGTGATAAAAACAAGTTATATATATGTTCCTAAGTAACTAAATGCAGGTAGGAAAAGGTTAAAAATAAGTCCGAAAGGGTAAACATTGAACTGCAGTTACCTTGATGAGTATGAGGGAGCAGAGAACATACATTCTTTTATCCTTTGACATGTTTAGATTTTTTTACAACGGGCAGATTAAAATAAATACACTTTCCCTTGAAATATTAAAAAAAAGTGTACATGACATAAAAAGCGTATAACATGAGGAATTTTCACATCCTGAACATACCCATAAAATCACTACCAGCTGATTTCACTTAACCACAAAGGAACCCTGTCTGCACTCCCTTCTGGAATTCTAGTAGTTCTGGGGGTTTAGAGATGGAGTCATAGTATATATTAACCTTTATAATGAAACATAAGTGACTGTTCATATGCTGGTTTCTGCTCATGCAGATCACCCCTCAGAGGTGCCAGAGAAGCTCATTCAGGATCGGTTCCGGAAGCTGGGCCGCTTCCCTGAAGCCTTCAGTTCCATTCACTACAAGGGAACAAGAACTTACAATCCTCCCACAGACTTCTCTGGGCTTCGGCGAGCTTTGGAGCAGCAGCTCGAGAACAACACTACCCGATCTCCCCGCCACCCTGGGGTCATCTTCAAGGCCCTGAAGGTCAGTTGGCTCCTGCCCCCAGATACTGCTCACTGGGGTATGTGGGTGGTGAGAACACTCAGTTCTCCTCCGCTGTTAGTGCTGGTGGTTGGAAACCTGGCTGGAAAGAGTTCATAAGAAAGGAAGTGCCTGAGTAGAGTTTGCACCTGTTCAATGCCCTCATTTTGCCAGGAGTGCAGATACAGAGGAGTCTTGGTGATATGTCCTTCTATCAGAGAAAATCTAGGATGTTAGGGAATAGAGAAAGCCATTCATTTTTCTGTGGTTTGGCGTATCCCTGGTGAGTTGGCCACAGCCCTTCCTTGTGCTTTTCGTTATATAGATTCATCTTTTTTTTTTTCTTTTTACCAAAATTAATTTATTCAAGAAAGTAACTTTTGTTATCATGATAAATAGACAATTAGTATCACAGAAATTTTCCAGGACATAAAGCCAAAAACCCAATGTTCCAAATTCAGAGGACTATGTGTAGATAAGTTCATTTAAGTAATATGACCATACCCACTTTACAGCCAAGGAAACTGAGGTACAAAGAAAGGAAAATTGTTTACACACAGGTACCATGTGGGAGCAGGCATTTATTTAATTCTAGAATTTCTTTTTCATAACCAGGAAGACTTTCCTGTTTCTCAACAAATAAAATATTTTCTTGCTAGAGATTATTGCTCATGGAATGTTCTGACACTGGGACTTGCTTATTCTTTATTTAAAAGGGAGATTAGCCAAGTGTTCAGGAGATGATAAAGATGCACTGTTATTGAATTGAGACTTTCTACTTAACAGAATATGAAATTTTGAAAGAGAATTGAAATTGGTTTAGTTTCTGCTATGAAATTACTTATCAGCAAGACCTGTGCCACCTAAAACTTGTTTGTATACACTAGTGATGTGAGCCCCACCTTTTCAGAAGCTCAACTCCGAGCATTGTTTCTGTCTCTTGAAATTAGTGAATTGTTTTTCTTGTGATTCTCAGCATTAGTATTGGTGTGTTGTTTGATACAGTAAAATCCTGTTAGGAAGCACCTTGCCATTTACCACCCCTCTTCCCCTGTCCCAGTGGGTGATCTTGGTTTCTTTATCCCAAGAGCACCTGCCAGCTGGTGGGAGCAGTCCTCTCAACCATGACAAGTGCAGTGTAACCTGTTGGTCACCCTTAAGGAGCAATTGTTGCTCCTTTATCAGATAGGCTTGTAGGCCTCACAGGTGTCTGGGTAGGTGGTGACCCCTCCTGCATTCTTTTTTTTTTTAAAGATTTATTTATTTATGCACAACGAACTGGGGTACAGGCCAGAGGTGCAGGGGCGGTGAGCGGATTCATCAGAGACAGAATGGGGAGCAGAACAGGAAGATCAATGAAGTACACTGCTGAGGGGAGCAGCAGGTGGGTCAGGAGAGGTCTGCCACTCCTTGTGGGTCACCTCCAGGACAGGTGAGGATTGAACTCATGCAGAAGTGGCTTTCAATTCTTAATGTTGCATTAACCTGCTGCGCCACCAGGGAGGGCCCTCTCCTGCATTCTTACAACCATCAGCAGACAGTGGCATCAGGGGAAAAAGAATGAGGTGATTGAAAACTGATGTGTGGTGCTACTGATTATTGAAAACTGCCAGTCTAGAATTGGGTAGGTGTCTCAATGAAATTTTATCACACGTGCATTGGTTGAACATTCCTGGGCTCAGTGAAGCTGGGGAAAGTTTTCCCAAAAGATACTTAAAAGTTGTGATATCATCATGGGAATAAGACTTCTCATTTTAGGACTGTTTGTTGGGTGGTCCACTTAACATTTGTCTAATTCACGTCCCCTGACTTTCATTAAGAATATACGCCAAGGTTAGAAAATGTGGGTAAATAGTAAAGTATAATAGTGAGAACAAAGACCACCTGTAATTTCTCCACCTAGGGGTAGCCATTGTTAACATTTTAATGTGTGCCCTTACAGTGTGTGATGAACTGTGCATTAAAAAATAGCATATAGATGTAACTTTGTAACCCTTTCCCATGCACCCTTATAAATGTTTTACTGTATTACCACTGTTCGCACTATTCTATAATTTGCTTTTTTCATGTAATCATGCAACTTGGTTATTGCTATATTAGAACTTAAATGCCATCATATATTTTTAAATATGACATCAGCTATGTTGTATCAATGAGATTCTTCCTGATTGATGTGGCACTATTGTATTCAAAGGGGGACCCCCAGTGTGACTTTTCTTGCTCATTATTTAATGGGAAATAGGGATTTGGAAATGTGATCAATGAGAAAGAATGAAGGTGCCAGGGGTTAGAGAGAGCGATTTTCAGTCACTTCTGTTTTGCGGGTTGGCCATGTGTTTCTTGATTCATCCTGCTGACCTTCTGCCTTTCACTTACATTGTTCCCAAACCCCAGTCCCTTTTTTTCAGCTAGATTGTTTCTTGACCGCTTACTCCTATGCTCAGGTTCCATGGCAGCAACAGCTCAGATTTACTTTCTCTGAGCAGGTAAATCTGCTTTAAAGGAAAGAGATGCTGAGGTTCATATTAAATAGGAGACCTGAACATCAAATTATCTGTTGGTGTTTCACAGTTCTAAATATTGGGAGAACCATTTTAAAGTTGCGTTCATATAGACTTTATCTAACATATTCTTAAGTTTGTACCTCTAAATGTAGACACTCTGACTTTCCAATTCTGTAACATCAGGAAGTATTATTTTTATAAAGTTAGTATATTTTCTGGGGAGGTGGAATTATTAATCACATCAGGGTCTCCAGCATGAATCAGCAAATTCACTTATAGGGCTTGATCACTGGGACAAACCTTACAGGTACAGTAGAAAGAGCTTATTGTTGCCAAGGCAGCTGAAGTTTAAGATCAGCTGGTTTCTAGGCAACCTTTTCCAGCCTTGTTTCAAATACTTCCTAAGCTTTCTCAGTAGAAGCCCTTACCTGCCTTTCTCTTACAGCTTGGGACCTTAGGAGCAGGAGAGCCCAAGAAACCCTGGGATGATGTGAGGTTTGGAATTTTTGAACAAAGTGTATGGATCAGGTGGTATAATGTGTACCCTGGAAAGGAAAAATCCGGTTTTAGAGGAAGGAGGACATTTTTTATCTTTACCCTTGTGTCTAAAACACACTATCAACTTTTTTTCTTTTAAACTGTTACATTCTTATACTCTTGATTCTTACAGTCCTTCTGAAGCTTATTAAGGTCTGATTCATCACTAACTGCCAGCTTGTCAGTGACTGGTAAGGGCAGTGAAAGGTTTATTGTGTTACCCAGTATTCAAGAGGACTGGGGACCAGCATCAGCAGTGTTGAGGTGGTTTGAGTTCTTTTTCTGATGTCATAAGGGGTCACTGTTGCCTTGGTCAGTGTATGCCAACAGTGACTTTATCTAGGGCAGGCGACAGTGGAGGTTTCATGGGTGTATACACCATGCGGAGCAGGCTGCAGATTGTTCCATATCACATTTTGAGATGCTTAGAAATGCCCCCATTTTGCTGAAGAATTTTCAGAGATGTTCGCTACACTGTGTAGAGCTGGGACAGAAAAGCAGTGTTCCATTTACCGGGAGGTGGTAACCTTGAATTCTTCCCAGCTGTTGAACTCATGCTAAATGTGATCATTTTCTGGAGGAAAACTATTATCTAGTTCTTGTGGCAATCCTGCAGGGGGGCAAGGCAGGGAGGCTGGGGGGCCATGAGGCAGGCAGCAGCCAAGCCCTCCGGTCCCACAAATCTTTGAGCTTACTCTGGGTTCTTGCTGGCATTCTCTTCTGTAGTCACTCTCCTCCCATAGCCATCCTCTGTCTCCGAGTGACGCTGCCCTTATATCCCTGACCTCTAGATTGAGGTGTGTACACCCAAGCTCAGGGAGGCACAGTCAGGTGCACGGGCCCCGAGCCCACACTCCTAAGTCCTTCTGTGTTAACATGGCCAGGACTGCAGGTGATCCTCACAGATGCTCATGCGCAAAAAGCCTAATTAACTGACTTACCCTACACTAGTCCTTCCAGTTGCCTATTTAAAAGGAAAAACTCAGGTTAAAAATGCTTTCTTTGGTTTTCCCTATACCTCTGTGGTGGCTTGTCTCTTGTTTAGTTATTTTACCATCCCCCCTTTTTTCTTTGTCACCTCTTTAGATAAGTAAGCATCTTTTTCAGAGAATTACCCACAAATGCAAGTAGCCATGAAGACCAGTAAGCTATCATGGAAAGGGAATCCTCTATGTCTCCTGTGTGGTTTAGTAATGATTAGGTAGTGAAGGTATCTATGGAAGAAATGAGAAAATTCTGTGCATTGAAAACCAGTAAAAACATTAATCATAGCAGGTAGCTTTCTTTTTTGAGCTTCTTAATCTATGCCACCTGCTTCATATGGGTAATGTCATTTGATCCTCAAAGTGTGATCCATGATGAAGAACCTTCTTGAGGAAGGCATGGCCAGCACCACCTATTCTACCTCAGGAATTAGGGTTACAGAAAGTGCGAAGCTGACTAGGGGTGAGCTTCATGTTCTATTTATGCAAATTCTCCATTTAGTTTGATCTTATAGTTATTTACTATTTGTATAAAGGTAACTTCCCAAGCCTTACAGTGAATTGATGCATTAGGGATATAACACTGTTTTCCCATCACTTATCTCCAGAGAATTATGCACACACAGGCTTGAGAAAACAGCCGCAAGTGTCACTAGTAATTAGCCAATCAATAGTAGTTTGGCTTAAATTTGAGAGGAACTGTGGGCCTGGAATGAGGCCTGGTGCAGAGGCAGGGCCAGGGTGAGGAGTGGCGGCCAGGGGCTGTGCTTGGGCGAGCCGGCGAGTTTCATTCATTCCAAAGGTCCTACTTGAGTACCGAGCAGGACCTTTGCTAGCAGCAGATGGAAAGGTAGGGAACTTCTTTCACAGTGCTTATGACCTCGTTGGGGAGGTAAATTATATTTTTCATGCCCATACCTTTGCCTTATCACCTAATTCCTTAAGACCTAGTTCAGGTGTTGATATAGCAGCTCTTCAGAGAAGGCAGAGTGGAGTGGTTGAGCAGGTTCCGTCGGTAAGACCAAAAATTCAAAATGAGTCACACTTAGAAGTAGGAGAGCTGAGGATTACCACCTGGCCAGCTAGGCTGGCAGCAGGCTGTTTTATGGGGCTGTCTGTCATGCTTCAGGCGGATTTGTATGCCCTTGGCAAGTTCTGCCTCCCCTTGACACATTCCTTGTTGCTACTTTTTTTTTTAATATTATAATATTTTATTTTTACATCATTTTGTGACTTTTGCCATCTCAGTTGTAATCCCCTTGGGCTTCCCATCACCAAATCAACTGTGTGCCATCACCATAGTCCAGTGCTCCCGCCCCATCCCCCACTCCACCCCCATAAAATGTCTCTGGTATATAGTTGTTCATTATTACTATTTTTCCCTGGTCCCTTATGTTCCTGCGATGTGTAAAACTATCGGTATTTTTCTTTTTTCTTTTTGGCGTATTTCACTAAGCATGATCCCTTCCAGTTCCATCTATGGTGCTCAAAAGGCATGGGTTTATCTTTTTTGATTGCTGAGTAATTTTCAATTGTGTATATATACCACATCTTTTAAATTCAGTCATCTACTTTTGGACATTTGGGTTGATTCCATGTCTTTCCTATTGTAAATAAAGCATCCTCGCTGCTACTTTTACCCACCTTTGGGAACACTTGAGTTTGCAGCTTGTGGTGTTACAACTTCATTAAAAAATGGAATTTTAACAAAAAGGTTCTCAGTGAAGTTCCCTTTAGAGTTTGAAGACAGATCTTAGTTAAACTTGACCTGCTCTTTTTCCAGATCTCATGTTAAAACTGGTTTTGCTCATTTACTCAAGGAAGTAATACTGTGTCATTTTGTTTTGAGATACTTTTTCTTGAGTGGCATCTGACTGTCTCAGATGGAAGACTTAAAGAGAAACTTAGAACCGTGTTCATTTCATGACTTTTAAAACCTGGAAAGCCCACTTCTGTTTAATTCATTGTCGGAGACCAGCTCCAACTTTTGAGGTGTCTGGAGCCAACACAGGCAGGACCCTAAGATGGGAAGGCGTCAGCGTGCGGAGATTCCAAGAGGGGGAGAGGAGCGGGTGTGAGGAAGACACGGGAGTCGGAGTTGGGTGCAAATCTTCCTGCTCTGCCTTCAGCAGAGGTTTATTTTATACATTTCCAGCAGGCAGGGGGATGGCATTAGCATACGAAAGGGGTTAAGATCACAATCACCTTTTTTCTAAGAAAATGGTCTGGGATCGCAGGAAGAGGAAATGTCTTGCTAATCAAGAAACTCACTAAAAGGTTTTAAGTAAGTTTCCTTGAGGTCCAGACAGTAGAAAATGTAATTTGCTCTAAATAGGAGACATGGGTGAATTTCCTTATCTAAAGACTAGGTAGTAGAATCCTGAAAGACTAGCCAGAAAGACTTGTGGATTGCTTTGAAGTGTAGCAGGTAAAAAACTTGACTAGCTCTAAAACAGGCATCCTGGATGAATTTCCATATCAAAAGCCAGACAGTAGGAAGTTTGAGTAATTCCGTAGAAGCTGAATAGGAGGCTAGGTGAGATAATAGAATAAGATTTGCTTTTATTGATCAGCCAATTGTTAAGTCACTTTTGACTTCAGAGGAATTTCTCACCCTGGTGCAGTGCTTGCTTGTCAGAGCAGGCAGGCCTTATGCAGCTGAGGCAATCCAATTGTAGGCTGAAAGTTGCTCAGAATATTTTGATATTACGATTATACAAAAAGGGGAGGTCATAACACAAGTTAGCATGGAAAGTCTGATCTTTCAGAGCTTTTCCCGAGCTACCCGGAATCTGTCAGACGATAGCCGTCGCATAGCTTGTGTCAATTCATTTCTCCACTGCATATTTTTCCACTCCACTAAGGCCTGGAGGGGAAGAAAATCAGTCTATAAAGAGTACTTTCAATATAAAGTAATGAGTGCAAACAGGATTAGAACTGCTTGGATTAAAATTTCCAGTTTGCTATTAGTTTGCTTCTTGGCATGTATTTTGGCCATTTGTTGTTGTTAGGTTAGACAATCACTACAGTTATTCTCTCCTGGTTTTTGGCTGATGACATTTTTTCTGTGTCGGGGTAGTGCCGTGGCTGGTGAACTCCATGTTGAGCACCTGTGGCTCACGTAGGCCAGAAGCCCAGAAGCCCTGCTGCTGCTGCTCACTTCCCAGCCCCTCCTCTCTGACAGAAAGACCAGCACTCTGGAGTCCTGGTGTCGTGGTCCCAGCTTCATAAAGATGAAGTGGGCAGTAGTCTACAGCTATGAGTGTTGAGGTGTTGATATGCGCCAGGTAATTGGGAGAGAACAGTAACTTTGCTTACATCTGACCTCCTGGGCAATGGGCTGGCCTTTCCTGACATTTCCTGTGAGTTGGTAAAATCGGCTAAGAAGGTCGAGGGTAAGTAGCAGAAGTCACTGGGTTTCTCTTCCAGCAGTGGAATCTATGAAAAGTACACTGGCGGTGAGGGGATCTTAGAAAGGCCAGTAGAAGAAGAGTCAAAACCCCAGTGCTCTCACGTGCCCCTCTCCCGGCAGGCCCTGAGCGACCGCTTCAGCGGTGAGATTCCTGATGACCAGATGGCGCACAGCTCCTTTTTTCCAGATGAGTACTTCACCTGCTCCTCCTTGTGCCTCAGCTGTGGGTAAGTGAGGCAGCTATCCCTTTCTTGAGAAAAGACTTAGAATGTGTGTCTCAGACTTCACTGTGCCTGCACATCACCTGGGTTTGGGTTAAACTACAAATTCTCATGTAAGGATGCTGTGGGGCCCAAGATATACATTTCTAACAAGTTGCTTAGGTGACTCGGGTGGTCCAGCTTTGAGGTTGTGGGCGATTTGAGGACACATGGTTATGAAGAACCCTCTGAAGATTCCAGCTTGGTTAGATGTGAAAGGCACTGGCTCTGGTTTGGGTATTATTATTAATTTTTAGATTTATTTTAAACTTTTTATGTGTAAAAGAACTGGGGGGTGTAAGCCAGAGGTACGGGGGTAAGGGGATTCACCAGCAATAGAGTGGGGAGCAGAACAGGCAGATCTACTGAAATACACTGTGCAGGGAGCAGCAGGCGAGATAGGAGAGATCTGCTGAGCCATGTGGGCAAGCTCCCTATAGCTTGATAGCTCTGTGTCTTTTTTTTTTTTTCCCCAATCATTTGTCACCAACCTGGTGACTGACTATACCACAAAGGTTACAGTCAGTGAATAAGGTCAGTAGTTGTTCTTCGAGGACTCTAGCACACTGAGGCAATAGGTGATACCCAAGCGTGACTCTAGCCTCAATGATAGCTCTGTGTCTTTAACCCCTGCACCACGAGGGAGATTCCTCCTCAGATGATTCAAAAGTATAACCTGAGTTGAAAACATTGTTACAGCAGTCCTTGTCAGCTTCCATCTGTGAGCACATTGCCTTAGGATTTTGATAAAATGCAGATTCTGGATCAGCAGATCTGGGTGAGTTTGCATTTCTGCCAGACTTGCAGTTGATGGTGCTGCTGCTGGTCCATGGGCCGGCCCCATTTTGTTACAGGGGATTAGAATAATGATTCTCTAATTTCAGTATACATCAGGAAAACCTGAAGGATATATTAAAAACAGGTCTTTGGGCCTTGCCTTGATGGCTTCTGATTCAGTACATCGGACAGAGGTCCTGAGATTTGCACTTCTAATAAGCTTTTCCGGGGAGGCTGGTGTTTCTGATTGGGGACCACTCTTTGAGGATCACAGATAATTTGACTCTTGGTGGCTATGAAATTATGGTCTGGTTACTTGTCTGATGGAGCCCTGGAGTTCAGATGTAGTATGTCAAGTCAGATTGCAGTCTCCATGTTCTGTAGACCCTCCTCCTCTTGTCCTCTGAATTGTCTTTGTTCACACAAGACCACCATTGCCCTTCTAGAAAGAGATGGAAGCCTGCTTCTCTTATAAAAGGCCTTTTTGCATTCCCTGTAGGGTATTGAACTGCCTTAACTGTGAACTATTAAAAAAGGAGTTGGATTATTCAGTCTGGGCTACGGAGAACTAAGGATTATTTTTGGAGTCTTTGATTTGGAAAGGGAAATGGGATATTGTGGGTGATTTACCTTTTTATCCACAAGCCCAAGATGAGGGCTTTAGGCTGTGTTTGATATCACTTTTCCACTCTGAGCCTCCACCAGAGCTTCCAGAACTTTTTCCTTTTTTTTTTTATAGTGAAATTCTGAAGCCCTTATCTGTGTTTTGCTTTGTCAGGATGGCAACACTTGATTTTCATTCAGCTTAAGCCTCCTCTTAAATGAATTGCCAAATTTTGGGGGTTGCTTTTTGTTTTGCCTCTTGGCAACCTACTCTGGTGAAACCTCCCATTTTATCCTGTTAGAGTGTTTTGACTTTCTTAAGAACCATTTGGGTTTTATGTCTTAATGGTGTTTTCTGGCTCCTCTATTCTTACCAAGGACCAGGTGTTTTTTCCCAGAAGAGATTTCTTCTTCCCCTTCTCAATCAAGAGTCATATTGCTCTGTGTTTATAAGTGCTACTGATCACGACTATAAGAGAGGCATGTGGGCTTTTGAGACCATTTGCCCTCTCTGTGTTCAGCGTCCAGGGTCTAGATCACGATGAGGGTCTATTTCAGGCCTGTGTCTGGTTCAGGGTCAAATGCTTTTGTCAGATGCAATGCCTAAGTGGCATTGGCTCCTTTAACTGCCTCACTGTCAGTGTTTGGGCTTCACTCAGGGCTGGCTGTAAGAACAGCATGAATCATGGGAAAGAAGGCGTACCTCATGAAGCCAGTAGCCGTTGCAGATACTCCCATCAGTATGACAACCGAGTTTTTACCTGCAAGGTGAGTCCTTGGAGCTTGTCCCTGTTCTGGCAGCTGGCTCAGTACGCTCTCCTTTGGGGAAGACTGCCCTTTGCTACAGCCCAAAGAATCTGGTGTTCACTTTGCATGTCCTGGGAATACCTTCCTAGCTCTAAATACAAGAATTTGCAAGTCTTTGCTGCTCTGATTCCTTGGTTATTTTTAAAAGCTTATTTTCCCCCTTTTCTGGCTTGCTTGTATGCAAATACTTATAAACATTGACCCTTTGTTCTTAAGGTAAGTGTTCTTTAAGAACCCAGTCTTGATTCATTCTCCTGTCTGTCAGTTTTGGGCTCTGATGGGCATATATTCAGAGTGATGGCTTCTTAAGGAAGATGAATTTTCTTATGTTGCTGAACTTGGGATCTGGACAGTTTGTGGGAGGCGAGCTCACTGGGAATGTGAAGCAGCGGTGGGGATTGGCAAACAGGGAAGCAGCTGGCACAGTGGTCTATGTTTCAGGCCTGCTACGAGAGAGGCAAGGAAGTCAGCGTAGTGCCCAAGACATCTGCTTCCACCGACTCCCCTTGGATGGGTCTCGCAAAATATGCCTGGTCTGGGTGAGTTTAAATGATAAGCTAAGGGTTGTTTGGGTCCTTTGTCTCCCAGCCCCTGGCTGGGTAACAGCATCTGTTTGCCTGCCTTACAGGTATGTGATTGAATGTCCAAACTGCGGAGTGGTCTATCGTAGCCGGCAGTACTGGTTTGGGAACCAAGATCCTGTGGATACTGTCGTGCGGACAGAGATTGTCCATGTGTGGCCTGGCGTAAGAACTGTTACTTTTCTTCTTGTATTGCTCAGTTGATAATCCCATGTGTGGAAAAGTGGAACTTGATTATTAGCACTAAACATAACCATGAACTTCAACATGTCAGTTTTGGAAGGTCTAGATCAGAACTGTTCTTGGTCTAGAGCCTTAATTATTTTCATTTCTTTGTGTATAAATATTAGATGCACAACTTTGAATTAAAAAGTACTGATAATTATAATACTGTAGCAAATATAACTTTTCTCATATTCTCCATATCCATTTTCCATACATGCTGTTTTTATAGATTCAGTTACATTTTACATACCATGTCTTTTTTTGTCAATACCACAATTTTATTTTCCACATTGCTTCCACTTTCTCTAATTCTCATTTGTAGTCACTCTAGCATAATGTTAGTGCTGTAGTTTTATTCCCCCATTCCCTTCTTTTTGAACATTCATGCTGGCTGTGATTTTTCAATTCTATAGTGACCATCTTTTTTTTTTTTTTTTTTTTTAAGGTTTATTCATTTGTGCATACAGAGCTGGGGTTCAGGTAGAGGGGCAGGGGCGGTGAGAGACTTCACCAGAGACAGAGTGGGGAGCAGAACAGGCTGGTCTATGAATTACAGTGCTGAGGGGAGCAGTGGGCGGGTCAGGAGAGGTCTGCCACGCCATGTGGATCAGCTCCAGGGTGGGGATCGAACTCGCACTGCAGCAGCTGCGGCTCGCTTGCTGTGCTGTGTCCTTACGCTTTGCGCCACCAGGGAGGGCCCATAACCATCATCTTTTAAGAAAAGTATTTATTTCGGGAAATCTTCCTGAAATTTATTGCATCAAAGGAACTATTGTTACTGATATTTAAATTTGACTTTTGCATTCAGGAGTTTGGAAAAACCTGTTAAGGAGGTATAGTCAGTGATGCTTTCATTCTGTATTAACTCACTATTCACACTTGGAATTACACATCATCGGAACACTTTCCAGACTTCCAGTTTTCTCTCTCTCTCTCTCTCTCTGTCTCTGTTTTATGAGAAGCAATTTTCTTTAAAGGACCTATTTCATTTTGGGTTATGTTCCAGGTGGGGTGATTCCCAAGGTGACGGGTAAACTGGATGGCCAACCTATACATCTGCCTCTGGAGTGTAACTGGACCCTCAGTTACCTTAAGACTGAAGATTTTCTTGTTTAATTTCTCTTTCCTTGTTTCATGTCTCTGCTTTCCAGTTTCCAGGCCTACAGTGTGGTCTCATTTCTGGAACCCACCCTACTTGACGTGATGGGCCAGGCCATCCTGTCCCAAGGCCTTCAAATTAGCATAGCTTTATCACTAAGCTTTCATCTAAGTATCTCCTGATTTTTAGTCTGGTAATTTTCCTGTAGAGGCTATTGTAGAGGCTGTGGTTATTAGTTTATGTTCCAAGAAAATAGTTATATCATTGTTTTAGTCTGCAGTCTTCACAGTCTGTGGGTTATGCTAATACATGCTTTTCCTCTTCTGTCACTCATGCCTTCACTCATTATTTCCACATATGCTGTTGAGTACTCTATGTCTGGAATTGAACTAGGTACTTAAAAGAAATACAAAAATGTAAAATACAGGCTTTTCTCAGACTTCACAGTGTAATGGGAAGTCGAATATATGAACAGATAATGTTCTTATGTGTGAAATACAATTCCGAGAGGTGTAAGGAAGGATGAGCACTTTATTGGGGTGGGGGACTTCCTGGAGGAGGCATCATCTTGCCATGAATAGCTCCTGAATTATATACCTTGCTTATGGGCAGAGTAAATCCTGAATTGAGCAGCTGTGCAGCAAGTCTAGCGTCATCCGTGAAGAGAATAAATCAGTGATGCCTGGTGTGAGTGTGTGAAATACATTGTCTAGCTGCCAGGAGGATTTCTGGTCTGTCTCCATTCTACTCCAAGAGGTTTGTGGTTCTGAGTAGACCCTAGAGAGTATGCAGACACCCAGTGCCTCTTTCCCTTTACTCCGAGTATGACGGGATCCTGTGATTTTCTTTCAGACTGATGGATTTCTGAAGGACAACAACAATGCTGCCCAGCGCCTCTTGGATGGGATGAATTTCATGGCTCAGTCAGTGTCTGAGCTCAGCCTTGGGCCCACCAAGGCCGTGACTTCATGGCTGACCGACCAGATTGCCCCTGCCTACTGGAGACCCAACTCCCAGATCCTGGTATGATGGGGCAGGACAGCTCTGTACCCCTGGCTCGGCCATTCTGCTTGTGCTGCTTTGCCCTGTGCTAAGCTTGTTCTGTGAAGGAGGCTCAGAATTTCTTAGTCAACTTAGCTCCGAATGTGTTGGAAAAATAGGGTATGTTGAGGACAGCCAATGTCTTCAGCCTCCTAATTTCCCTTTGTTACCCCACAAATATTTTCTTAGTGGTGGATTTTAGTTTCCTTATCTGCAAGGGCTGATTGTTGGCTTGTAGACAGAGTCTGGAGGAAAGGGGGTCTGTCAAAGTTCTTTTTGACTTGACACAGGGGCTGTATAGCATCCATAACAGGGGCATCCAGCTCACAGACTCCAATTGCTCTCACAGGAAACGTGATCCTCACTCACTTCGCAAGGGTTTATTTAAGAAGCTTTGATAAAAAGGAATTCTCTGCCATTCTTCTGGCCAGAATTAGTGTAGTCCCTTCTGAGACCTCTGTGACTTAGCCAAATATATCTGAGGTGCTTCTCTCGGTATTTTTTTTTGAAAGATATGATAATCATAACCGCTTCGGTGGGGTGTTGTGTGTGGCTGGAGGACTTAGGTTCCCTTTCTTAGGACAGATGGGTTCTGCTGTTCGACAATGGTCCTGTGGTCCTCCCCCTGGGTCGCATTGACTTTCTCAGCTGAGCAGACATGAATGATACCTGCCTCTGTTTGTTTTGGGTTTGGAACAGAGCTGCAACAAGTGTGCTACATCCTTTAAAGATAACGACACCAAGCATCACTGCCGGGCCTGTGGGGAGGGCTTCTGTGACAGCTGTTCATCCAAGACCCGGCCAGTGCCCGAGCGGGGTTGGGGCCCTGCACCCGTGCGGGTGTGTGACAACTGCTATGAAGCCAGGAATGTCCAGTTAGGTAACGTGGGGCCCTGGAGCTGCAGGGGTGGAGGGAGGCACCTCCCTCCTGGCACTGGGTGTCGGGAACTGGACTGCCACACGCCAGCACTGCTCCGAACGATATCAGTCCTTCGAGAGCAACTGCTCTGCCGCTCTGGGCCATCGTCCTCTAAGCACTGACCTGCCAGAGCCTCCCGCCACGTGCTGTCCGCAGGGGGCCTCACCAGACATGCCTTAGACTGAACCTTTCCCTGGAGGTTGTAGGTCATGCACCTTTCTGGCTTAAAGAAAGGTCATAAAATCGCACCTCAGGATTGAGAGTAAACTGATAGATGCCACCCAGTTTCGGGGTCTTAGCTGACCTGGCCCACAGCCCAGATCCTCGCAATCATCGCAGCTCAGCACAGTAGTCCCTGGGGAAGGAATTCAGAAGTGCTTTACTCTTGCCCCCCCGGTTTTCATTTGGAAATTGACTAAGAGGTGATGGCTTTTCCTCAATTGTTGTCTACAGATGTGACGGAGGCACAGGCAGATGATGAAGGCGGGACGCTGATAGCTCGGAAGGTGGGCGAGGCTGTGCAGAACACTTTGGGAGCCGTGGTGACAGCCATTGACATACCACTAGGTGGGCCTGGCAGAGCTTCTCGTTGCTGTAGTGGACGTGGGATGAGGGACTCCCCAGTGCCCTGGGCTGTCATTTTGGCAAAAGCTTGCTGACCTAGATGGAGCTGGGCAGCAAGGAGTGGACTAAAAATTTTCATCTGCTTGCTTCTGCCAATACCTTCGTAGTTTCATGTTTATTCCTGGAGCCAGGCCCTTCTACCACCTATTGCTACATACCCAAATACCTGAAAATGTTAGCGCTCAAAACCAACACCATTTTAGCAGGCCTCACAACTTGGAGGCAGGGAGAGTAATTGCTCAGTTCTAAATGGCATTGCCTGGAGCTACTGCCTGCTTATCCAGTATGGCAGAGTTGGGCCGGGCTCGAGGGGTAAGGCCAACCTCACCTCACCATGCCTTGGCAGGGGCACCTGGTTGCTGGGCTGAGTAGGGCCCTGCCCTTCCTCTGTGTCTTCTCCAGGTATCTCCTTGTGGCCTTTCCACTGGTGGTTGTTGCATGATGGCTCAGGAGTCTAAGAGCTGATGTTCTAAGAGACAGAACAAGTAGAAACTGCCAGTCTTTCCAGACCTGGGCCTGGAAACTGGCCCTTGGTTTAGTCTGTAGTCACAGGGCCTGCGTAGGTCCAAGGGAGGAGGCAGGAGCTTCAGAAGAGGGGAATATATCAAAGAACTTGGAGCTCCTGTTCATCCCAACTAGCACTGACTTAGACTTAAGATGGCCATGCAGCTCCAGTTGTTGCGAAGGAGTGCTTGTAGCCAGGGTTGGAAGGAAAGGAAGGGAAACCTTTGTTGGTAGAGGGCCCAATTGGGCAGGATTGCCGGCCTGGGGTCCGTTGGCCTATTGTAGGGAGAGCACAAAGACTCCTGGGTGGATGGTGATGAAAGATCAGAAAGTCATTGTGGTGTACAAAATGAGCAGGTGATGAGCCTTTGGCTCAAAGCATAGGGATATAGGTGGATCTGCCCACGCTTGAAGCTCAGGTTGCTCCTGTCTTCGGGGTAACTGGAGTGGCAGCGGCTGCCCTCAGCACAGGGGCCTGCCAGCTCTGCACTCGCTGGCTGTTGGGTCCCAGCCCAGTGTGTTAGACTTGTTGTTTCTTGTAAAAAGATGAATAAGCCAGGAGTCCAAGAAGTTAAGTGACCCTCAGTCTGCAGCTATGAGTTAACTCATGCTCAATAGGATAGGGATTTCAATGAAGTTGTGTCCTGACTCCAAAGTCTGGGCTTTTTATATTTACTCCGGTGGTTCCCATGTAAAGTACAGCTATACTTTAGAATGAGCTGGAGGGCTTAATAGATATACTCAGGTAGCGACGTCTAGCCCCAAAGATTCTGATCTCAGTGGTATGGGATCAAGGCCGGGTGTCTGCATGTCTCTATTCCGTGTGCAGCTGGGTTGTGAGGTAGTGAAGTGTCTGCCCAGTGTTCCTGGGGTGTTGGGTTTTGTGTGTCCCGCCCATCGTGGTTCCTTCCTGCCGCAGGTCTGGTAAAGGATGCGGCCAGGCCAGCGTACTGGGTGCCCGACCATGAGATCCTGCACTGCCACAGCTGCCGGAAGGAGTTCAGCATCAAGCTTTCTAAGCACCATTGCCGGGCCTGCGGACAGGGCTTCTGTGACGAGTGCTCCCATGACCGCCGGGCTGTCCCTTCTCGAGGCTGGGACCATCCTGTCCGAGTCTGCTTTAACTGCAATAAAAAGCCCGGTGACCTTTAACCCCAGCTCCCGCTCCAAGTCCTTCACAATTCCTTAGGTTCTCAGGGTTAGAAACAGAAGTCGCATTGAGGTAGGCCCTCCTCCCGGTCACCTAAACGTGGTGTGTGTCCTCTTTACTGATCCCGGGGCCACTTTCCCTTGGTGGGGGGTGGGGCAGATAGCAAGCCAGGATGAGCCTGGCAACAGGCCGGAAGGCGTGAGTGACCCCTGGGGCAGGCAGCAGCTATTGTGAAGGGGAAACGAACCTGAATCCATCGCATTTATGTCAGTTAAGAATAACAAATAATAAATACACATATATGCACCCACATTCATCTGTGGAAGGATCTTGGAGTGTATTCAGGCTGCTGCTATCGGCAAAGACTAACCAGTCTGTCTCCAGACAGGGATAAGTGGTGGGGGCAGCAGGTCTTCCCACAACACCGAGCCGGGGCAAAGCCACTGCGCTGATAGTCACCCATTCGGCTTCTCTCCTTCGCTTGCCTTTTCCTTTCTGGCCTCTCGGCGGCCTGGGGAAACAAGCTTCCCAGCAACTTCGTGCTTGGACTAGTGTGAGGGGGTTTGCCTGGGCCCTCTGGAGTTGAATCCCAATTCTTGGCCTAAGCTTTTTTCAGTCAGAGGCCACCCATTAGTGTGCAGGTCACCAGGGTGGGTGGAGGGTGAAGGGTAGGGTCCTCGGCCCTGAGAAGTCAAAATGCAGGTGAGGTGATGTTCCCTGTACCTGGGGGGTGCGCAGGACACAGGCCTCCCCGCAGTGTCTCCCGCTGTCTGCATCCACTCGGCTTCTGTAAAGGCTGCGCCCTGCTCCTAAATCAGAACACCCGCTTCTCTCCCCTCGAGCCCCTCTGAGCCCACCGTCTGCTTCTGAGTGTTGCACTAGGACTTTTATCGCTTATTTTGAAGTGTCTTAATTCTTTGTTCCAGACACACGACCCCTCTAGCTATTAGAGGGGTAATCATGAGAAATCTTCCAGGGAAACAGAGCACAGAATGGACTGTTAGTTGTTTTTTTAAGTATATATAAATATTTCAACAGATTATTAGGAAAAAATTCTCCTGTCCTTGCAAGAGAAGTCAAGTGAACTTTGTTTCTCAAGAGCTTGGACATCCACATCTATAGTGACTGGAAAGAAACTGTTGTGCTGGAATCATGTCACCATGGTGGAGTTTATCTTCAAAGGCCAAAAAAGAAGACTTGAAAGTGACAGATCTTAACTGAGCTGGGGAGGGGTGGGCCGAGCTTCAGGGAGATGCCAGGTGTCTTTCCTGGCGGGAATGTCTGAGGAGAGCCTTGGAATGTGTCGGTCCTTCTCAGACCTGTGCCCTTCTGCACCCTTCTTGTCACTTGTCCGGTGACAAGGCCCTACTCTAGAACTGTGTATTATCAAACCTTATAAAGGAATCTTCCTGCTGAACGTGGACTGTGCTGACTCTTCTTTACTTTCATAAGTGAATCTTATCTTCTCTTTCTAGTTGATGGGAAAGTAGCTGGTGGCTTTTGGTGCAGAAGCCAAGTAAGAGCCATGTTTCTACGGTGGCAATATATTCCCTGTGAATAGCTCAGTGTGTTACACATTTATAACAATTAAAAAAAACATCATCGGCCCTCCCTGGTGGCGCAGCGGGTTAAAGCACTGCACTGAGAAGCTAAAGCCACTTCCGCATGAGTTCAATTCCCGCCTGCCCCCGGAGGTGACCACATGGCGCGGCAGACCTCTCCTGACCCGCCCGCTGCTCCCCTCAGCAGTGTACTTCATCCATCTGCCTGTTCTGCTCCCCACTCTGTCTCTGGTGAAGCCTCTCACCGCCCCTGAGCCTCTGGCCTGTACCCCCGTTCTGTATGTACAAATAAATAAATCTTTAAAAAACAAACAAACAAACAAAAACATCACACAGGTTTTCATCTCGCAGAATGTTTCCCTGCCTCTTAGGTAGATAGCGTGTATCTACCTGTATCCATTGTTAACTGGGACCAGGAACTTGACGGTCTTGGGTTTTCCTTTTGCTTGGGATAACTAATGGCCACAGAACGTTCCAGCAGTGAAGCGGTTAGAACTCCACATGTGCTCACTTACCACACTGTTGTCCCTGTTCTACAGGTGTCCCCAGCAGTTGTAGGACCAGATAGGTGCAGGTCAGTTATGGGAGGGGGCGTCGCAGCACCCACGGCTGCACCAGCCTGATCCTGAGCCGATAGCAGTTTTTTCTTTTTTTTAATGAATGTTGCCATCAAGTAATCCTGCTGCGTGTGCCTTGTGTGGACATAGGGCCTGAAGGTCACTGAATGATATTTAGGTGAATGTTACATGCGAAGCACCGTGCTAGGAGTTTGTTTGGTAATTCTCACAGCCACACTGGGAGGTAAGTAGGAATAGTTGTTTTACCATCAAAGACACAGGTTCTAAAGCCCAGATTGCCGCCTGGCAGAGGTGGGCCCAGTGACTCTGAAGCTGCCTTTGGCATTGCACAGTAGAGCTTCTGTTCAATTTTCCTCCCCCCTGTGGGTTGTGACTTGTTTTCTATTTCCAGATAAGCTCAGGGGGAAAAAAATCAAGGTACTTGCTACTGTTTTCAGGAAGGTTTTTTTGTCTTGGAATTTCTGTTGTCCTTGAAACTTCTCATGGTCAAGGACAGTAATGGTTCCCACTGAAAATAATGAAGAAATCTGCAGAGCAATTAGACAAGTCAGGTTTATACAAGAGGTAGTTCTCTAAGTGTGAAAAGAAAAGTAATTTGTAACCATTTTCAATGTCAGAGCACCATCATTTCTGGGGAAGAAAAATTGAACCCACAATGTTAACCTGCAACTAACATCACCAGTGGAACTTTGTTATACAAAACCTGAACTCTACCTTCTGTTCAGTTATGCCACTTGGTTTTTTGTGTGGGTTTTGTGGGGTCATAGAATCGAGGTTAGGGATATGCTCATGTGTGGGAGTCGTCTTCAAAACTGCCATAATGTGATTGTGATACTGAGCAGTTTCATCCACTGCCCTGGTTTCAATTGCCCTTTCTGATTCCCAAATTCTTAACTCTAGCCTGCATCTCTCCCCAAAGCTCTGAGCTTATCCATAGGCAATTCCCTCTGATGTCTGGATAGTGCGACTTGGGGCCTAAGATTTCCCCATCACTTCACTCCCCAGTCCTGGCTGCCCTACACCATTGCTTTTGCTGATTATGGCCTTGCAGAGAATGTCTTTTGCTTGTCCAGCAGCTGCCTTTATTCAACTAAAGCCAAGAGCACAAGTGGGTATGGGGTAGGAGCAAGCAGAGGTGTGAGCAAAACCGGACAACTGCCCCAGGAAGTCACCTGCAGGGGACAGGCAGCTAGTCTTGAGAGAAAAGGGGGAAATTAGGTTGAACTGAACTGGAGATTAAGCTTCCAGAAGAAAAGTAAACATATCCAATAATAGATTGTTGGACTTGAGCAAAAGACCCAGCTGGCTCTACCAATTGGCTGGCAGACTTTGGGCAAATCACTTTTCACTTCAGTACACTGGCCGCCTCCTTCCTAGGATTGTGGGTAACAATGCTGACAAAAATTGGTGAACCAGCCTACCATGTAATTAGCTGCTGGCGAGTGCTTCCTGGAGATGTCTTTGGAACGGGGACTTAACAGTCGGGTTCTGGCAGATGAAAAGGAGTGGAAGATGACTCCTGCAGCCCTTTCCTGTGTCCTGAGAGCACTGAGTGGCAGGTGAAGTTGGGCCTCAGGCCGAGTTGTGCAGCAATTGTGGCAAAAGGTCACAGTGTTATTTTGACACAAGAAGCCCCTGGACAAAGATTGTTGAGGCGCTTTCCCATGGCAGTGGCTGTGCAGGAGTGGCCTGCAAGGGTAGAGGAGTGGGCCAAGAGGCCTTTAGCAGCACACACAGTGCAGACTTAGCTGTAGAAACGGAGTTTGGACTGAAATTGTTTCTAGAGTTACATATGTGAAAGTTGAGGACAGAAAGGGCTTAAAGGTAAGAGGGGCTAACTTGATCTCAACATGTTGGGGGACCCTTGTTGGGGGACACCTAGAGGGCAGTCTGCCCACTAGAACATGCTGGGCCAGCTGAATTCTAGAACAGCTGTTTCAAGATGACGTGTGAGGCTGGTGGGCAGTTTTGATAATTAGCTTGTGCCACTGTCCTTCACCTCTAGAAGGTTATGAGCAAACACTGGGCCACTTAGCAAAAGGTTTACACTACCTAGCTCACCCACTCAGTGTGTGCCTTCCATTGACACCTGAGGAATAGGTAAAGTGCCCCGGTAGATCTGCGTGAAAAATGTTTTCTGAACATATAACTAGTCATAGCTTAGGTACTGTTACCGGTAGGCCAAAATGCTTAGTCAACTTCTCAGCTAAGTCTAACCTCTTCTCATTTAGCCTAGATGATATGTTAATGGTGACAGCAAACGAGATCAAGAACAAATTGCTGTTTAAACAAAATGTTTTGAACACCCTCTTTCCCCCTTTTAAAACCTAAGGGAAAATGAATTGTTGACAATTACATTCACTTAAGATGCTGAGGTCCATGGGGATAGGGTTGCTTGTGTCGGAACACACCTTGATAATATCAGGTGGTCAGATGGGTGCCAGTTTGGGACGAGATCAAAGTTGTACCAAGTACCCCTTACCCACCATAGGCTCTCAGTTCCTTAGTAGAGAATAGTGGGGAAAACTCTGAACTAGAGATCTAAAACCTGTGACTCTAAATTGCAGGTCCTGTAATGAACTTAAGAGCTTAAGGGGGAAAAAAAGTATCAGAGAGATGACGGGTCATGGCCGAGCATTTATTATGCTCATTTGTGCGCTTGGGCAGGGCTTGTCACCAAAGTGAGTCTGGTAGTGATAGTAGCATCTCAACTATTGGTCACTTCAGTTGCATAGACTACTTTCTGGGGCATATGCAGGTCAGGATGCTGTTCTGGCAACAGGGACAAAATCTAAATACTTACACACATGAGTATTTTGGTCATTTGCAAGCCTCTTACCCACTGGTATCAGGAAAACCCACTTACATGTGACTAAATCTTGGGCAATCTAGCATCACGTGGCAACACACTACTTTCTAGAGTCTCCCCAGCAATAGCTGTGACACACACCCAGTACTCTCAGTGAGCAGAGAAGCAGAGAGTAAAATATGTGATCAGATCTTGTCTTCTGGTTCCAAGTCCCAGCTCTATAGAACAGGTCTGTGAGCCAAGACAAGTCCCTTAATGTCTCTGTGCCAGGGGGCTTCTCTCCCTGTAAATGATACTAACCATTTTTATTTTATTGGTATTACTGTACTGTCCTACTTACTCTTTTTTGATGTTGTTAAAGATTATTTATGCATACAGAACTGGGGTACAGGTCAGAGGCACAGATGCAGTGAGAGGCTTCACCAGAGACAGAGTGGGAAGCAGAACAGGCCGACTGACAAAGTACATTGCTGAGGGGAGCAGCGGGCGGATCATGCTGCGCCATGTGGGTCACCTCCGAGGTGGGGATCGAGCTCATGCTGAAGTGGCTTTAGCTTCTCAGTGCTGTGCTTTAACCCACTGCACCACCAGGGAGGGCCCCAACTTCCTTTTTTGATCAAGTCAGATAAAATAGGGAAAAGTTCTTTATAAAACCAAGAGGCACTAAAAATATGTGTTATTGTACAATGTAGATCTAGCAGATGAACTATCTTATGTTTTCCAAGTTGCCCCTCCTCTTCTTTTGGATTTGGCTTGCAGTATGTTAAGTTGTATTAGGGTTCTGGCTGAAACATGTGTAACACTTGAGTAACTGAAGAGAGTTTAGTCTAAATGGTGAGGCATCCTGGGCTAGCAACAACAGTGAGGTCAGTTTCTAGACACAGGTCTGTAGTGACAAATGGAGAGAAGTTACTGGAACCCAGTGAGCTGTGCTGCAGTGGAAGTTGGCCTTGGGTGGAGGAACACAGCCAGAACCCCCGTCTATTGGCGGGGATTGAGTTAACAATCTCACCTCATAGTCCGCCCTCCTGCTTTCCTGCTGGTATGTCCTAAGGGCCAAAGCTGGTAGTCCACTGATGGGTGAGGAAGGGCAGAGTGGACCCGGAGGGCGGGCAAACAAGTGCTCCACAGAGCCACTGGAGCTGGTCTCTGCCCTTTTTTAGCTTCACCCAAGATCTGAGTAGACCTCACTGCAGAGGGTTTGTTGTGACAGCAACCTAAGCCACATGACCTTAGAAATCATTAGCTGAAGCAACACTCCACGCCTTGGTTCATTCTACTTTATTTTTTGGTAGAAAGATAGTAAGATTCTTTAGTACTTTGTATAAACGTCTCTCCAGCTGCTGCTTTAGATTGCAAAAAGTAAAAGCCAACTTTCTTTGAGGTGGGGGCCCTTGAACCCGACGTTCAAGTCATGATGACAGAAACAAGACTGCTGCACCTAACATCTGGCACGTGCGGCCTGTTAAAGACCCTTATTATGGAAAGGCCCACTTCTCCCTCCACTGCGTATGAATAGTAAAAGGGTAACAGAGATCTGTTATTCTCGAGTGAACTTACATGAGAAGACTGGCTTAACGATTCCCAACTCCAGCTGCTGCTTCTCTAGCGACTCAGGGGCTGACTTCCCTCCCTGTCCCCGGTGGCCGGGTGTCTTTCTCACGCATAGATGCATGTCTTTCTGGGACCCAGGCACTGACCACCCTCGAAGTCTCAGCCAGTCTCATTACTAGGTTTCTTGAAGGGCTTTTGGTGAAAAGAAAAAAAAAAAAACTTTGGTTACTATCAATTTTCAGCCCTCAACTTTTTTGTTAAAAAAGAGTGTGGGGGGTGGGGTGGGGACTAGGCTAAGCAATTGAATAAAAAATGGAAATAGGTAGATACCTTTTATGAAAAGGACGGTTAAGCTCTCTGAGCCCACAAATAAACTGAAGTAACTTTACAAAAGTGTCTCCACATAAAACAGCATCTCCTTAGCAGCCAGATGAACTGGGAGCTGCGCACAGGGAGCAGCGTTTGAAATGCCCTCTCTAGAAGCAGCACTGCAGGAGGGGCGACCACTCTGTACTCCCTTACATCCAACCCACACACCCTGCCTGTCAGTTATACGAGAAGCAGTACAGGTCCTGCTGAACGGCCATGAGCAGCCCTGGAGCGCCCTGGAGGCCCCCTAGCCGAGAGGAGAAGGCCACGCTGGGGATGTCGGCCTTGGAGGTGGGGTGTGGGGAGGGTATAGTTCTGAGCAGGTGGGCGTCACGGAGGCTCCAGATTCTTGTGTAGCAGTCTTGGCCCACTAAGAGAGAAGAGACATGCACAGGTCAGCAAGAGAATTCCGTGGATACATGTGGGCATGTGTCTTGCTTCCTTCCAGCCAATCCTGACTCCAGATGAACAAATACAAGCTCACAAACGGGCATTTTTCTTATTGAAAACAAGTACTTTTTGAAAGTCAAAGTTGTGGGTCATCCTGGTGCTCTAGAGCCCCTAGTTACTTGCAGGTATTCAAGGTGACGGGTGCACTGGCTGGCTCTTCGACACCTTGGCTGATTCTACTTGGCGTCGAGGCTGCTCAAGAGGAAGCTGAGTGCATCTGCTTTAGGGCATTCTATTTAGGGAATAGTAACCTGGCCCATCTTTCTTTTTAACATCCTGGGGCAAATTGGGTGACAACTGTCCCCAGAGTTCTTTCTCCTTACAGCCCAGGTCATAAGGCCAGTTAGCCTTCGGGGTTCAGGTCTTCACAAGAAAGGTACAGGCACACCTTTGGCATTCATGGGTTTCGCTTTTGTGACCCTGGAATAATTCTTGGCTCAGAGGAGTGGCTCGGCCATGGATGAATTCAGGCTGTGTGACTCACCGATTACTGGGCAGCCAGCCCACTATGCTCATTTGCCTCATAGAGGCTTACCTCTTTTCTATTACCCAGAACACAAAGCTCTCCTGAGATGAAAGTGTGTGGGAAACAGACTTAAAAGGACGTTAGGGTGATGATGAGAGCAGTAAACAAGCCTACAAAAGCTCTAACTACATGCATCTACAACAGTTTCTGGGGATAAGTGCTTTCTGTGGGAATATTAGCAAACTGGAGGACTGGGAACACCTCCCTTATGTCAAGGGCCTACTGTTGCATGTCAAACCACAGCTCTTTCATGCCATTAGAATATTCTGTAGCTCAGAAACAGTCTGTGATCCACTTGTAACTCCTTTCAAGGAAATGCAGTGGTCAGACAGCTCTGCCCTGTTCCACAGGTCACGATGCACTGGAAAGCGCTTCAAGGGGGAATCAATTCCTTTACCATGAATTTTACCTCATGCATCTTGTCACTCTGATACCTACAGCTGGTTATGGGGTCTAGGGCACCAGGACAGAATGGCCCACAGCTAGATTACAGAACGTACACATCACTCACTGTCACACACATGCACTGAATTACTTAATTTGTGAGCATCCTCTGATGGAAATGTGAGCCCGAAGAACAGGGAGCTCAAGTTTTTAGAGAACTGCATGATGGGGTAAGGGTCACACTGAATGTTGACCTGGTAAACAGACTTGAACTCAAGTCCCTCACGCCGCTGTATTTAATTGTATCTGACTTGCCTGTTTCTGAAGCAATGTTTGCTCACTCACCTGGGAACAAAGGGCTGTCTAATTGGTGGATGTTTAAACTCTTGGTTACTGATATCTCTGTGTCCCATCTGCTCTCCCTGCCCCCCGAAGTCTACATTCCCCTTTATCTACTTTGTTTTGGAGTGATTTCTGCCGTTTACATTGTTGGAGGCCCCAGAATACAGTGACCGGTAGATGGACTCTCCCTTCCCCCAAGTACCTGCCACTACAATTCCTTCCTCCTCGTGCACGTGCAGCGGCAGGTAGGCGTACTCGTTCACGTGACCTTCATATTGCTGTATACACTTAGTGGTCCTCAGGTCCCATAGCTTGATCTGTGGGAGGCAGCAAAAGGCACAAGGGGCCATTAGGGAGAGCCCAGCAAGTGCCCTGGGGACCCCTATGTGCAGAAGCCAGGGGCAGGGAGGTGGTTTCCAAAGACCTTTCTAGATGAAGACAATGCAGTCTCATGTTCCTGAACCCTAGAAGCCCACCCAAAGCACCAGACCCAGTTTCGAGGCTGTCCAGGCCAGATTAGGCTCCCAGTAGCAGTCAAGGAGCTGCCCTGCAGTCTTCCATGCTCTGGTCTACGCGACCATTCCCTACCTGCTTCCTGGCCCCGAGGGTCTCCTCTGCAGTGCCCCTCCCCCTGGCGAAGTCAGTGGTGCTCCTACCGCTCCAGCCATGTCAGACGCCATCAGGCATTGCTCTTCTTGGAGGATCTGCACAGAGGTCACTGCTGAGTCATGGAACAGGCGGGAGGCCTTCCAGCCCTTGCCCTGATTTCGAGAACGCAGATCAATTGCAAAAATCTCCCCGGAACGACAGCCGTTAAACAGCAAAGGAGTCTGTGGAAAGAAGGACTGCTCAGTACTTCCCTCTAAGGCTCAGAAGGGTGCTCCCTCCAGAAACAACTGCCGCTGCATCTCCACTATTCTCACCCACAACAGGGGGAGGTGGAGACAGCTGATTAGGGCTTGAGGCTCAGTGGAGTTGGGAGGAAGACGAGTCCCTGGGAAAGGGGAAAAGAGACCCTTTGTGTCCAGCCGCCCGGTTCCCTTCCCTCACTCTAAGGCCCTAGTGACAGTGTCCTGTCTCTACCAGGATGCCGGCTGAGAAGCTGGGGTGATGAGGAGCGAGGAAGAGAGAGCAGAGATCCAGGTAAGACAGGGAGTCCCAAGTAGAGAGAAGAACTAAACTGTGCTTACTACTGAAAGCAGGCCGGCTGACTCCTCCACACTTTTAAAGAAAGGTGGCATTTACTCTAGGGCAAGTCTGAAATGTAGTAGTGACTAAAATTTTAGTTTTTAGATTTAAAAATAGGCAATGTTAAAGCTATAAGTGAAACGTCTAAGTACTATGACTTTGGAATTAAAGATTAAAAAAACTTTGTCCTGCTCACTAAGCCAAATACTCAAGAACTGCTAACACCGTATGCAAAGCCAGATTAAGTCAGGCCTTTCTAGATTAGCTAATATTCATTCACCTCAGACTTATTCACAAGGCAGCCCATGAATCCTGAGTCCCACTTTTGTTCTCTGTAAAAGCAGGAGGACTAGATGCCACACAAAGGAATCCAATTTTAACCTGGCAACATTTCTACTCTTGGGGAACTATGGTGCCCTCCCCAATCCAACCAACCATGAGGGCAAACTGTTGCGTCAAGACATCACTGCTCGTCCCAAATGACTGCCGCTGTCCTGTCACCACGTTGGTCACCAGGACCCGCCGAGATAAGCCTGACAGAGATGGGGCGGAGAGATCAGTGTCACTGACAGTCTAGGGACTGCCGGATTGGGACGGGGTGGGGTTGGGCTAGGGAGGCAGCCATGGCTCACCTGTACTGAAGCAGTTATTTGCCTGGACGTTCAGGGACCAGGCGCAGGACCAGGCCCCTGGGATTCGAAAACTGCAGAGCATGCCGGGCCGGTCTCCTGCTGAGGGAACAGTGAATGTAAAGAGCAGCTGCCTCTCAGGGGGGCGTTCTTCCCTCCTTGCTGCCAGACAGTGCTAGCAGATTTGGAAATCTCTAGAATTAGCTGTTCAGAGGGGTCTATACCATGTCCCCACTCTGGGTTTTGTGGTAGCAGAAGAGAGAGGCGCCTGATTCAGATGCATTCACTTATTTATTTGGAGCTGATATTGGTTTACACCGTTATTTATGTTTAAGAAGTACTGACCTGCAGGTGTCGGTACTATGGCACACCTGTGACCTCAGTTCCCACAGTCTACCACTAGTTCACTTTGTCCCCTCCTCACCCTTCTGGGTGTCTCAGCTCTATAATCAGAATTCTAGGGTTTGCTGTTAATTTAGCTTCATATGCAATGGCAAGTTTGTCTTTTTTTGATAGCAGAGTAGTATTCCATCCTAGGTGTACATCTCTTCTTCCTGAACTACTCATATGTATTTGGCACTTGGGTTTCCGTACAGTTTGGCTGTATAATGGTGCTGCAATGGACACGGGGTGCATGTTTCCCAGAAGTGGTTATTCTGAGAGTAAACGTATGTAGTCTTTCCTGACTTCCCAGCAGTAGTGTTAAAAACACTAACATTCCTCAGGGAGGCAGTATGTGTCACATATAGTAGGGTTTCAACTCCAGATCACTCTTAGGTGTGTGATCTCAAGTAAAGCATCTTGTAAAATCAGCTCTTTTGATAAGGCATCAAGGACTCGAACTGTAAGTGCGCTGCTTTTATTAGAGCAAATACACCCACACAACTGCCACCAGCTTAAGAAACGTAGTGCCCAGGATCCCGTTTTCCCCTTTCCAACAATTGCCTCCAACTGCTCCCTCAAAGCAACCACTATCCTCTCTTCTACCACCAAAAATTAGTTTTCTAAGGTAAAATTTGAAGCCCTTTGCCTGTTTTCTCATTTGCAAACACAGACACCTGTCTCAGAAGCTCAGGGCAGATGAAATGCAGACACCAGGCTAAGAGTGCATCACCTCGTTTCATCCTCTCTGATCCGGTAAGGTGGGTATTATCTTTACTTTACTGAGGTTTAGCGATCTGTTTAAGATGGGAAGGGCCAAGCTGGGACTCACGTCTGCTTGTGACTGCATTTTTAGAGGCCTGACTCTTGTCTACTTATGCTAATTATCTGAAAGGTTGAAAACTGAATATTCACACTACTGCAGGAAGGAGAAGTGCGACGGCCTTCAGTCAGAAGGCAAGTACGGTCATACAGCAGGAACTTCGTAGCTGTTTTCTGAAGGGTCTACACAGGTAGTCCAAATATTCCGACCTGTTGTGTTCTGCTGGAAGAACCCCAAAGGGGTAAAAAGGGCAGGCCAAGTAAAAATGCACAAGCATCGAACAACTCTGGGCCAGGCTTAAGGAGTCCTCTGTGGGTCTTTCCAGACTACCCACACCCTGCAGGTTCTGACTGGAGCTCACCCAATCAAGCTTCCCACCTCTCCTCTCAAAGCCTTTGTCACTGAGCCCTCAAAGTGTACCTCCTTATCCAAAGAACAGTAGCCTGTACCTGGGTGACTGCTGACGAACAGTGAGGCTGGGAGCAGGGTGGCACAGCCCGGAGTCTCTGCAATTCCCATAAGGCAGAGTCTGGGAAAGTTGTTAAGGAAAGTCAAGTACAAGGTTCTTCTCTGGGAGAATGGGCATTAGCACACTATAAAAAAACTGTAAGAATTAACACCTTCATCTAAGTTGAACACATTTAACATTTTCCATAGTTTGAGATTAGTTTAAAAGGGAAAAGACCATCACATATACATCTAAAAGCCCCCTTAATCTCTTCCCATTCTAACGCCCTTCTCCCCACCCAGTGAGAACAACTCTTCTAAACTGGTCTGAGTTCTAGGCCACTGCTTCTCCACCCCATGGTACTTATCCATGAGCAATGCAGAGCTGCTCGTGTTAGAAAACACTGGTAAATGGCACCACACGGAGCCTCTTCTGAGACTTTACAAGCTCTGCCTTCCCTAGAGCCATCCGTATGATGTTTGTGGCTCCAGCTCATTCATCTTCACCTAGGAACATTCCTTTGCATGAAAGTATAACTTATTTATCCAGTCCCCTAAAGAGGGACACTTAGGCTGCTTTTGCTTTTTTCTGCTCTGCTGCCGGAAACTGCATCCCCTCCTGTCTCCCTCTAAGACACTGTTTATTAAACCATGATAAGAATTTTGCCCTACACCATTGCTGTAAGAGCACACATATCCGAGACAGAAGTTCCATAAAATATAAAATACTCTCACTAAGGCCCTGATGTTCTCTAGTCTCTTTCCTTAAAAAAAATGCTGCTCGACTTGGATGGAGCTGGAAAAGATCATACTTAGTGAGATAAGCCAGAAAGAGAAAGAAAAATACCGGATGGTCTCACTCATAGCAGGAGTATAATGGACCAGGCGAGAAAATAACAAAAATAATGA